TACTGAACCAGTATTATGTCATCTGGTTGAGCAATTCTGACCACATTGCTGTACTGTCTACTGATTTGGAACTGTATGTCTGTGATAATTGTTAAAGGTACTTTTTTCTATGAACAATAAAAATATTGCTAGCATTGTGACTTATATCCTTCTAATAGCAAATGATTTTTTATGGGTTATATGACCTCTGTTCTTGAAATTCATACTATAAACTCATATAGTTGTGTAGGATTTTGAAACCAACCCCATTACAATACATCTGTATCTGTGAGATATAAGCCCAGCAACTATCTCATGTGAAACAATTAGGATTCTTAACATATTGCAGGCACAGAATGCACATTTTCATGTAGAACCATGCATCAGGATCCAACTGGTCATTTATGTAGGAGGGCACATCTTGAAAATCTGAACTGAGTGTAAACTGTTGCAATTCCTGTTCCTGCATTTGCAAGCCAAATGTTTTGAAAGGGCATCATCCTTTGGTCCTTAGCATGTGAAATTGGAAACCCAAACCTGACAATTCCTCTGCCCACATTCATTTTCACTTCAGATCACTTTAGCAAAAATATCCACCTAAAGTTTAAAAATGCTTCTAATATTAACTCAGTTCTTTGGCAAATTCACCTGTCAAAACTTCCACCTTCCTGTTTAACATTTTCAAGGGGGAGTTGTGTTCTGAAGGCCAAAAGAGCACTGTACTAAAATCTGTATTTAGGGATTCAAATCAATACAACATCTTGGGCTATTTTTTAGTTGTTTGAAATGCAAATAAACACAAGCTTTCCTGGTCAGTGTAAAGTTGCTGAATGATTCAGATGAACAGATGAAGTCAAGGCAGTAATTCTCTGCAAACATTATTTTGAGAATTGAATCTGATAATTATTTTAAAAGACTTTTCTTTTACAGACTTAGGACAGTATTTTCTATTTTTGTGCGTACTTATTGCAAGGATCTTAACAGGCTTAGATACAAAGTGCATTATTAAGCTTTCTGAAGTAAAAAAATTGCTACAATTAGTATTATCAAACCCCAAAAGTGAATGTTTATATTTCAGTCATATTCATTGGATGCTCTTAATAATAGAGTAATATGGTTCCTGGTTTTGTGATGTGTGTTTGCATGGAAGAAAGTAAAACATACTGTAACTGGCAATTACAAAGGCTTGCATTTTCCCCCTCGGTTAAAGTCATGGCTTATTTTGCAAGTCATCTGTATAGTGAAATAGTACATAGATTTACAAAAATGGTGGTTTCATATCAGGTATTATATATAGAAAAATTATTGACTAATGATTTCTGCTCAGATTTATCTGCTTTCAGAATCTGTAACTCCTTGCATATGAGGTGCCACAAACCTCTCAAGGGACTATGTAGTTATTACTCAATCTTACCTCATGATAGATGTGATCAGTATTATCAGAATGATAGTAAGAAGGTGAGCAGAGTTGAGGAAAACTTTAGTAAACCTGGAGGAATTGGTGACTTCCTAGGAGCTTTGACTTCTTCAGAGGAACAAGTTTATTTATGCTCTTAATGGACCTCATGTAGCCTCAGAATGATGAAAGTGCTTTTTCCATAACTAGCTTTCTTACCTTGTTTCTGAGTCTCAAAAATTCAGTGACAGTGACAAGTTCTCATTATATCAGACTAGATGGTCATGATTAGTATCCTGCTCAGCAGAAGCAGTTTTTCTTTCCTTAGTGAGAAAAATCACAAAATATGAGTTTCTCTTTGCTTCTTAGTTTGCCTCATCCAGTCTGACTATAATTTTAGTAACATAATAAGTAAGTAAAGATATCCCTATGTAAATATTTTTTTGGTTCATGACTTCTAATTCAAAATGCTCTTCTAATATAAATTGTTAATGAATGAATAATGTTTGAAGCCATGAATAATTATGTGTGATTTATTCAATTAACTTTCACCTGTAATCTAGCATATTTTATATTACCTGTTTGGAATTTTAAAACCTTATGAATTGCCTCAAGCATTTCCTCTCATGTTCTCCTTCTCTGTCAGATAAATTGCCATATAAACTAATGAACTTCAGAGAAACAAGCTTGCTGAGACCCTGTTTCTTTCACATATCCCAAGATTTGTACTATAGTGAACTGTATAATTCACTGGTTTCTCCACCAGGCTAAAAAATTAATTACTAGCCACTATCAATGCCCTAGGCAATTTTCAGTCACTTCTTCAAATTAACTTAACCTGGAAATGCTTCTTGGATGAGTGGAAATCGCAGAGTATATTCTCAAACACAGTAGATTTTGCTGTATGCTGCATCAAACCTGATACGAGTTATATTTGAGTGGATTTTTCTTCTTGAATTTCCATCAGTGACTTCTCAAGTTGATTTAAAGATGTGAACAATAGGCAGTAGCTTGGTTAGTTCTTTGTCATACCAAAATATTATTTTCTTCTTTTGGAAAATGAGAGTGTTTCTGTAGTAGGAGTATTTATTCTTGTATCTTGAAAATAAATAGAAGAGATGGCCTACTACTAGAGATCAGTATGATTGCATCTCCTTGTTTTAGAGCTTCTAGCATGTTCAGGAAAGACCTGCATATTTCTGCTATTTCTAAAATCAGTAGTCTATTCCCTTGGGGCTATAGAATGTATTTGTTTTATTCTGTATGTAGACAAAGAATTGGTATCTACTGTATCTAGAAAAGTTTTCTCTAAGAGCTTTTTTTCTGGCAGGCTGGCTTTTACTTGGGTTGAATTTCTGAAGCTCTGGAATCTATGTAACTTTGCACTTGGCTTCTTCAAGTTGTATGTTCTATCTTTTCTTTTTGACATGAAGTGGGAAATTGTTTTCATCTTACATTTTGTGGACACCACTTTGCTTCGCTTTTTAAAAAGAGAGATACCCTGTTCAGCTTCTGACTTGTCAAGATTTGCAAGAATAAATGTTTTTAAAGCTTAAATGAACTGGAAAACCCTTAGGTGCTTCAGAATATCACTTCCTGTCATCCTTTGTTCATGACTATTTGTAATACTGAGGTATCATCTCACACATTTTCTACTCAGCCACACCTTCTCTCTGTTTGAAATCAGATGTTCTGCTTCCCAAGTTGGCATTGTTTTCAGCTTGAGATAGTGTTCAGGGGGTCTGTTTCTAAGAGTTAAGTTACTTAGAGGTTTGCTGTTTTAAGACAGTTCTGGTTTCATATATGTTCAGGAATAAATATAAAGCTTTTGCAGGGAAATGATACTGTGATGCTTGTTATGAAACACAAAGAAAGTATCTTGCCCAACTGGCAACACTTTACTAGCTGAAAAAAAGCCAAAGAGGTTTTGGGGAGTTTCCAGATTAATTTGCATTAAGGAATCGATGTCCATGATGGAGAATTCTGATGGTCTGCAGAGCTATAGGAAAGTAGTTCACTTCCTCATTTAGCCTTTGCTTCAGCTTGCTTTATTCTTGCCGACTCCCCCTCTTTCACTGTTTGCATGTGCACTCTCAATCTCTGGTTTATAGTATTTGTCCATTTCTGGGCAAGTCCATCAGTTTCTGCTGTGCTAGGTCTTATGGGTAAGATGAGATGTCAACCTAAAATGGACCATTTCTGTTAAGGATGTACTTTCTTTTATTTGTTGGAAAACAAGGTGAAACTTATGCTGATAAATTCTACTTTGACATTCTTTCTTCTGCTGTTGCTTCAGTGTGGTGAGGATACTGCGTGAAGCCAGATAACAAAATGATTAGTGACAAAATAAACCTTGCATGAGATAAATGAAAGCTTATGGGGAGAATGTTGCCATATAGGAGATATTCCTGCTCTAGGGAAGAGGATTGGCAGCTTGACTAACTCTGTTGTTTATTCACTGAAGAAGTAATTTATGACTTTGCAATCTGGTTAACATGCTCAATTTAGAATAGTATCTAAATAATTGTAAATGAAATGTTGATTTCAATTTTTAAAAACCATGAACTGTTGTTCTTTTTATAAGCAACAGACAGACGCTAAATCTTTTTGGTTTTAATCTAGTTGCTTCTGTGAATAATATTTATGCTAGCTTTTTACTGTCAGTATGTCTTATTTTGGCCTCTGTCCACCTGAATACTGGCTAGTTATTTTCGTTTTCAAACACTGTGTAGCAATGCTGAAATCTATCTGTAAATGGCATTATAGCATTGTATGTTAATTTCTCCAGTGCTGAATAACTTTTCTCCCCTCTTAATTTCCTTTTAATCTTCTCATTTTAATTTACAGTGATTAACTTTTTCAGTATTCTTTATGATGCAAACTTTTTGGCATTTACATTTTTTCCCCCCTTTTTGTTTGAACGTATTTGATTAGCAACTAATCTGGTTACTGAATTTTACTGTATCACATGGGTATAGCTGGCAACACAATTAGATGTCCTATTTAGCAAGCAGAACACCTGTGCAATATCTCCAGTTTTACAGTACTTTACACATGTGATTATGAAGTACACAATTCTGAAGACAAATGCAAGCTCTGCTGCTAGTCCGGAGTTTCTGGTGTAGACTTATTTCACAAGAACTTGTAGTTTTTTAGGTGACTTGCATGGGAAATTTGTGTCAGCAGGCTAACAGTCATAAAAATGAGAGCAGCACAGATCTGCCATTCTGCCCTGTGAATGGCATGCAGCCCATTACAGCATCATCTGTGGCAAAACGCCTCTCTGCACTGCCCATGCACTGCCCAAAACTTTGATCACTAATGTCCTTGGCATTTTTGCAATATGTTTTGCCACATTCTCAGGTTATATGTGCGCATAAGCCTGAAATTAAAAAGCATTGCTTGACTTGTGCTTCAGTTCCAAACGTACTTGTTACAGTCAGGGGGCCCTTTTTCCTTTTCCCGTTTCTGTAAGCTAAGAAGAGTCACTAGGGCTTTCCAGGTGTCAGGCATGGCTCAGTGCCACCACATCATTATGCAAATTTAGGGTTTAGAGCAATCTTGATAAATGGTATGTTATGTACATGTAAATAGTTAACAGTTCTATTTCCTCTTTGTTTTTCAGAAGTAACTCCCTTGTGAGCATCCCAGTAATGGCAGGTATCCAGTGGGTTCCTGATACCTTCAAGCAACACTTTCTCTTCAATAAATTATATCCTTAATTTAATGGCTTCTGACAATACATTATTTTGGAACCCCTTTCCCAGTGGGTAGAAATACATGCTGTTTTTAAAAGTGTTAGGCTGTCAGCTGTGCCAAGAAATTCTCTGGCAAACAACTAATTATGTCCACAGATAGTGTCTGACAAAAAATTTGCTTCAAGCCACAAGTCAGAGGCTTAACCATTGTTTGTGTCACATTACTTTACAGCTTGTGATTTGGGTTAGTTGGGTGGGAATGTGGCTGTGAAGCAATGTTCTTTGTTTGAGACACAAGCCCCTGCTTTAGCCAGTTTATAGAGCCATACGTAAAATGGCCTCTTTGCTTTCACTTAACAGGATGCCATTCACTTTTCTGCTCTGCTGAGCACCATTTCCTGACTTCACAGCCCAGGAATTAAACCCAACACACAAAGCAGCATTACCAGTAATTGTCTGCAGATTAAATTAAATGCCTGTTCTCATACAGTGTATCTGAATTGTATCAGACCCACTTCTCTGTTTACACACTTGTTCCTGTCAGCAAGAGGCAGCTACTGCAAAATGCTGCAGTTCTTAGGAGCTTGTCTCTCAGTGATTCAATGAAAGTACTAGGGATTTTGTGTGTTCAACATGATGTTAATTCTATTGTGTTTCATAATGAAAAAAACATAGCTTAGTCTGCTAGTATAACACCAATGTATTTCATTGATGTAGCTACTGTAAGTAGCTCTCATTTATGCTTCAACTTATAAATTCCCACTGTCATGGTGTTTAGAAGTTTGAAATTATGGTTTTACTTTTGTTCAAAAGTTAGAGGAATGATTCAAATTCAGATTTTTGAATAATTAGATAAATTGGTGTAAAATAATTTTGACTCATTTAAGTTGTGCCTTTTTCCTTTCACTTTTGTGCAATACATTTTCATACGCGGAGAGTATAAAGCTATTAGTTTTAGGAAGAAAACACTGACACTGAAACATCACAAAATTAAAGACTCCATCAGTTTCTGCTGAAGTGGATTTATGTATGTATTTCTTCTGATTTTATTTTCTCATGAGTGTTTCCTGTGTAACCGAATTGTGCAACTCTTCCAGAAATTCTTGACTCAGAATGTGCTGCAGCCTGCTTTTTGCTTAAAAAATTTATCTTGCTACTGATTTTCCAGCTGGTGTAGCTGATGAATAAGAGTTTGGGGCTCATCAACTTTTTAAAAATTTCATGACCTTTAATTTCTCATTAAGAGTATGCTTCATGGTTGCCACACTTATCCAATCAATCTTTCAAAGACCAGCATGTTATCACATTACTCAGTATAATCTTTGTGTAGTTTCTGTAATGATGTCATATGTGAAAGTCATCTCAAAACTTCAATTTGGTGCTGTATTCTGTAAAGATGCAAAGAGAATATGGATTTACCATCACATTTCTTCATGAAGAGGAGTCTGTTGAAAAGTTGACCCCAATTCATTCAGCCTAAATCAGATTTTACAAATGCCTTTGAACTGTGATGGTTTTATTTATGAAAAATGCCAAAGATCATTCCTTTATAAGAACAGTGTATTCTTTAGTGACCAGATAGCCTTTAGAGTGGGTTGGTTTTTAACATTAAAGTATAAATTGCTGAAAATTTTAGCATGTTCTTGTGGAAGCTAATTGAGTAGACAACACTTAGTCATTTTAAGAGTGGGTCAAGAATGAAGATACATTTTAATTGCACACTGCTTTCTAGTCAGAAAATGAGATAGAATAGACTTTTGAAAATTAAATGCGGGTTAATTGTTTTCTACTAATTTAATTTTTTTTAAAAGGAATAAGCTTTTTTATTTGCACAGAATATGATGCTCTACTTTCTGAAGGAAAAATACTTTTTTTTTGTTTTCTCTTAAAATTAGTTGAAAATATTTCATGCATATCATGCCAGGAATCTCATATACTAGCATTAGAAAGAAGACTTGCATTAAATGAAGTGTTTTATTTACTGCTGTTCAGTCATCTTCAGACCACTTTTCTGCCTTTTTTTAACTGATACCTATAGAAATGACTGGTGAGTAGGTGGGAACACAAGATCCTCTCTGAGGGCTATTGCACTTAAATATTTTGGCAGCAGGACTTTTTTTCATTCCAAAATTATAGCATGTTTTTACAAAATGGTTCTAAAGTGAGAGAACATCAATGTATCCTTTCCTGAACAAAGTGCCAAGGTCTACCAGATGAGTACCAACACACTTTAAAGTCATGGCTTTGTCAGAATTTGGAGGGGAATATTGCATTACAGCACTGGAATTCTCCATGAGCACAATGTATTTTTATCAGCCACACAGGAAGGACTTCAAGAAACAAAAGGAAAATATGAAGACTGTATTTCTACCAGGACTATGACATCAAAGTACTTTCTTAGGAAAAACCTGAGGACATACGTCCTGTGTCTGCAGAACCAGCTGCATAGCCTCCTTCTAGCACATCATTTGTATTTACTCAGCCTGGCTTTGCCAAAGGTATCGAGTTAAGAAGCTGAAAGTACCACCAAATTGAGAACCCACGAGAACTGTGTTGTTACCTTAAGTGCCATGCTGTCTGGGCAGCATGTACACGATCATACATCTCATTCCACACTAGACTTCACTTAATTGCCTTCTTTTTTTTTTTTTTTTTTTTTTTAATGTATTGCTAACATGGTAGATTTACTTCTTCCTACCCAGTCTCAGTCTGATTCAGCCTTTGTTCTCCATTCACATGACCAGAAGTCTCACCCAGGACCTTATCATTTTATGTCTTAACAACTCCAGTCATCTTCATTCTAGTCTCAACAAATACTGGCTTGCAACATTTGTATCTTTTCAAATATTCTTGTTATTTTGAGGTTCCATTGTTCCCTCCCTTGTACTGTGGGATTATTTGCTTTAACTTTTTAGACTGCACTTTACCATCTCTTACATACTTGAACTGCTGACTGTATGGCATCTGCAGTGCCAGCCTTTATTGTCCTTCTAAGTGTTTCCAACAAGTATCTTTAAATTTCCCTCTATGCTATTTAATGAATGGTACTAACAAAGAATCCTCAGTGCCATCTCAGTGTCCTTTCATTCCTTCCTAACTGGGACCTCTACATTCTACTGCAGTTTGACTATGTAATAATAGTACTAACCTATCATAATACTTTACAAACTATGTGGGATTTCTTGGCTACTACCAAGTGAAGCTCTGGGACTAGATTTGACCAATAAAGTCAGCATGGCTCTTATGAAATACACTGCAGTCTTATGCCTTAAGTACAACTTATATATTACAATATTATTTGTATCAAAGCTTACCAAGAAAATGTAACTGAATGCTTCATCCACATCAGTCCATCTAATGTACTTTTATTGACAGCAAGTTGATAGTAAGAATGTATTTGATATTTTTTTGTGTGCATTAAGAATAGCGAGTATGTTTTTTCAGATATGGCTATGGTCTTTTTTCATATGCATGCCAGCATGGCATGAGCATCTAATTGCTATTTAGATACCTCAGGCTAACATTAGATTCCTTTGAGATCCTCAAAACTGCTGCTTACTAACAGCTGAAAAACAACAGACACACAAATTCCCTGAATATTATCTATTGTGGATGCCAATTTAGCTGAAAAGTTTGCCATGCACGATCAGCTCCTGTGCACCATGCCGACGTGCTGCTTGGCAGCTAAGCCCCTTCCTGGTTTTAACACAGTGTTCACGTCTCCTCTCCTGGTAGAGTTGTCTCTGCCAGCACAATGGATGGTGACTGCTGAGGCTGACATGCTGCATGCTCCCCTTGCTCTGGTTGGGTTTTGCTTTGAGTTTTATTACTGTGGGGAAAAGGTTGACTTAGCTCAGGTTCCTGGTGCCAAGAGAGGATTTGTACTTCAGACACAGTAAACTAGGCATGGAGCTGGATATGAACTGTCAACTTATCTTCTGTATTTTTCCTAATGACTGGCATAGGTAGCTTCTTCACTTTCTGTCCTTGATGATCTCTTTGTAAGATGCTTCGCTTTGCCCAGGCATTTTGTATAGCTCCTTGGTGCCTGTCTCAGAGTGCTGATTTCTGCTACATTGCAGAACAATTACAATTAGGCACTTCAGTGTTGAATAGAAGAATGCTGAAGCCCTTTTGTGCATTCTGGCATAAATCTCTTCTGAAAATGAGAATTAGGGTAAGATTTACAAGGATCTAGAGGTGTCTACTGATGAAGATAGTCAACTAATGGTATTTCCAAAGACGTATAAGCAGATTACATTGTTTTAGTATAATTTGATAGTTTCATAATTTTCTAAGTCCCTCTGCCTGATTTCCGTCTGCCTGTGAAATCCCACAGTTTTATAAAAGGCAAAATTTTGGGGTGATGATCAAGTTGAAGGGAAATTTATCTACATTTATCTACTTATGTGTCACAGTGGCTTTGAAGTACTTCATTACATGTTCATTAGTTCATGTTACAGTTGATACCAAGTTAATCCTATTAGTGTTTAGTCTGTTACACAGCTTTGGAATTGATAATATGTGAGGCTTCTGGAAGGAAGTAGTTTATAGCCTTAGATTGCTCTGAAAGACTTATTATCTTTGTTCCAAGCTGGGATAAGGAAACCATGGGCAAATGCTCTTGGGGATCATGAAGGAGATTACATTATTACAGAAAACAATATTTTTGTTAGAATCAAATGTACTATAAGCTACGACAAAATAATAGTGTATTGAGCTACTGTAAGTAAATTTCCCAAATAGGGCAATGGCAACTTCATAAGTACTTATTTCTCTTTCTAATCAATGTTAGCATGATCCAAGAAACTATTTCCCAGATTCTGTAATCTTAGCTTTCACTTCTGATTTAATTTTGCATAGCAATTTGTACTGAACTTCTCTTAGGCAATTTATTTGATATTTCTATTTAGCCTGGACAGGATAATAATAGAAATTAAGTTTAGAATATCATGGTTAATCATTGATGTGGCAGAGGGTAATAAAAAGTTGAATTTTTAAGTCAGCAAATTTTAATGTGTTTCATTTGCAAATGTATAACATTTATATGTCAGTGATCTCTGATAACTTTTAATTGTGAAAATGCCAATAGGAAAATCATCTGAATTTTAAATATGCAGATAGTTATTGGGCCAAGAATTAAAGTGGGTTTGTATGAAAAGTAGAAAGTAAGGAAAACATGTCAATATAAAATGGTGGGATAAAGGCTGTCTGTAAACATTCCCATGTCTATAATCATTAAAAAATGCGGTCTGTGAATGTCTTCAAAATTTTTATTGTATTCTGAGACTATGCAAAACTACATTAGAATGTGTTTAGGTGTAGATTTGGCATATTTAAAGAAACATTCCTTAAAGAATATTTGGGATTAATAAATACAGTTGAAGACAACATGGTATATGCAAGAGGGATGTTTTGTGAAATGGACCTTTATTAATCTTGATCACTGCAAAATAAAAATCCAATTAAGGCATTGAAAAGATAAAGACAGACCATCTGTGAAGGAATTTGCCACAGATCTAATGGTTAGCTAATTTTTCAGATAAAGCGGGTACTGTACTTTGCAGGGGATAAAGTAGAGAAGTTAGAAATCATTTTAGGTTGTCGTGTCAAAGGTTTTTTGCTGGGAATATGAACAAATTGGATAAAAGTAGTGGAAACTATGGTCAGTTAAACACAAGGTTATAAACATATTAATTCTTTCTAGATGGTAACATTGCATTCCACTATGTTTCTGAAAATGCTTGAAGAAATGTTATGGGAAATGTATTTCTTACCCTGAGACATCTCATCTGATTTCTAAAAGCCAGCAGTGACCACATGCACTAAACTTCATTTTGTTCCAGAGGTTATATTAGTGTGCACGGGATAATGAGTTTCATGTAATGGAGTAGAAGTAGCTTCTGTATTGCTTAACTGAAGACTGTTTTGCACAAAGAAACTGATTCTTGTTTGATTCTGTACTAATGGAGGAAGATAAAGTCTGTTTTGTTCATTTTTCTACAGGTCAGTTTTCAGGTCCTTGTTAACAAATTCCTTAACAAAGGAAAAATGTTCTATATGTATAACTTCATAGAGAGCTAATGAGAAAGCAAGGTTAAACAGTGATTAGAGTGCTTCACATTACCTACTCAAGGTTGGTATAATACTATATCATCATGCCCTGTTTTGTTGCTCTGGCTACACAGATGAGGTTGCTGAGAAAAACTGATACATGTTTAGAGTTTAGCCTAGTTTAGATGAAGGTAATAGTATGGTACTGCAGGTGCATTGTTGACTGCTGAAATTTGCCTGTGCAGATTGACAAGTTATGTAAATGAGAGATTGATTTCTAGATTAAAAACTTCCAAAAATGTCCTATTAGTAAAGGTAGATTTTCTCATTAAAGTACCTATCAAAGAATCATTGATCTTTTGCAATGCAGACCTAATTTATTCAATAGCCAGCTATCTAATATTCAGTAAGTATGCTTCAAAGTCAAAACACTACTTAAATACTATTTAAACCCCTAAGTAGTGGAGAGTAATCTACATAGAAATCTTTAATTCTGTGTACTTTGCATAAGCAACTCTCCTGAAATGTTATTTAGCTCTTGTCTGTCTGGAGGTGATCAGGAAAATTAAAGGTATTAGGACTATGTGTGTGATTGAAGAATTTTAAATCCCACCTCTTACTTGCCTTATATCCCCTTCTCTTCAGTAAGCTTTACTAAAGATCTTTAGCTGCTTAGTTTACATTAATATTGTATATTTCTATAGTGAAGATCTTACTGTGTAGTTATATATTCTCTAATTAAGATAAAAGGAATTAAAAAGAGCAAGTAGAAGGACCCTGTCATGGGATATAGGATGATCAAATATATTCTACAAGGAACTTAAGTATGATAATAAACACTGAGATATATGTTTATTCTCTGGATATAAAATCAGTGCCCTTCTGACCACATCATTCTACTTTTTAATAATTTCAAGCCTACATATATCATATTTTTGTATTTCTGTAGTGGTAATACTATTTCAAGGATGGCTCTAAATATGTCCCAGTCTTTGTAACTGGCTTGTTTATTTTAGCTAAGCTTTTTAGGTACAGTTACATATGTTTCGTGTGATAGCCAAAACTAAAGGTGCCACCTGCCATGGCAGGACTCATAACTAATCCAGTATTTGCTTGTCAAGTGAAAAAATTTAGTCTTACTGTAAAGTAAGCTGCTTAAGTACTTTATTGCATCCATCTGCTCTTTTTTTATTCTTTTCTTTTCAAAATACAGGCACATCCAGACCACAGCTACTATTGATCCTGTCAGCTATTGTTTGTGTTTAACAGAGAGGTATGTTGCATGAATAACACTTGAAGCTTGATTTCATTGGCCATTATTTTAGTATGGTTTGTTTTGTTTTGAGGTTCTCTTACCTTCTTGATACGATGGGAGTAATTTTACAACAACCTATTGCAGTGTCTCAGCCTGAGTTAGTGAAATCAAGAGGCAGTACAGGAGACTCATTCATTCAGATAAAGCTTGCAGAACTAGTCTCTGAAGGTTTTCCCCTCCCAGATGTTTTGCTTGAAGCTTTTTTTAGGTATAAAGCCTCAGTTCTGACCTTTGTGAAGAAATAATGAATGGTAGACAGTAAAAGGCCAAATGCCAACCATATTTGTTACCTTTTGCAATACTGCTTAAGTAAATTAAGTTTGCGAGAGCCCTAAAACAGCACTTAATCCAGAGGTGGCTATATACAGAAATTGCGCCATCTTTAATAGCAATTTTGGTTTGTGGTTGGCTGATCTATGAGCGACTGCAGTCAAACTGAATCCAGAAGTGTTATTGTGGATTAGGTTAATGTCACTAAGGTCAGAGGCTGGACCTGAATTATATACATGCATGTATGTCTCTTCTTTGCACAACTCAGTCCAAAACGTCTTTTACATTTTTCCTATATAAAAGTCTGCCCTAATATACTCACCTGTCTTCTGTCTTTTTCCAGTCCTCAGTGATGATAAGAACTATGTAGATTTTAATACACACTGTGTAATACACACAGTATTTGTTCTATTCTTAACATGCTTTTTTTATTTTATATTAAGCTTTTTGGCCTCTATCTACCAAACCACTTACAGGATCCCATAATACAAAAGCAGTGGACACTTTGTTGTCATTTAAGTAGTGTCATACTGGATCTGTGTAAAATTAAAACTCCCCAAAAAATTTATGTGCCTACATAGTTTTGAATAACCCGATTAATCTTTTTGTTTGGGAACAATTTTCTTAGACACAACAAGTTAGATATATTTTTCAGTTTGGACACAAGTTCTTGGTCATTGAAGAGAAAATGAAAGGGATTTACCCATAACTGGCCCTAGCAAAAGAGAACTCAAAATACAGACACTACATTTCTGCACTAATAGAAACTGGTGTAAGATTTGGTCTGTCTTATTATAGAAACCTCTCGTATATTTTGTGCTGGTCTCAAAGATGCCTAGCTCAAAATTGATGTCAGTAAGCCTACTGGTATTTTACAAGCAAGATGATCCCTACCAATTTCAGATAATGCGCTTAAATCTATATTCCCAAAGAAAGACTTGTTTTTTAATAGTAGTAATCCTTTAATTGACTGGGTGTGGGAACACCACAGGGCCTCTTATGGGTTCCTGGTGAGAGGCTTTCTGTGTATAATCTGTTGCAGATGTTAAAAAAAAAATGGTTATAAAGCTCAGTAAGTTTTTAATCTTTTCTTTGAATATTTATAAAGCTATTATGTTCAATACATTTAACGATACAAACGCACTTTATGCAATAGATACTGAGATGTAGAGTAAGTACTGGATGAAATAAAAGAGTTAAACAGAAGCTAGCAGAAGATTTTGTCCATTGGAAGAAACAGTGCTTTGGAAATATATGTAAAGAAAATATAAATTATTTTGGAAAGAGGAATAGAAGATAAGAATATAGGCTTCTTAATTTTTATTCCCATTTGTCACCTAAGAACTTCAGAGAAAGTGTAAAGCTGGTGTGTTTATGTGGTTTTTAGACCCTGATAATGTGTTCTTTCACTGGGCTCTAAACTAGTTTCATGTGTCCTGCAAACAAGTGTGACATATTTGTAATATTAAAATATTTACTAATAATATTCTTTGCTATGCTGTCTTTTTGAGCACCTTAGATTTAAAGTAGTCTAGGAGTAACTAGCAACATTTTTTGACACAAAGCAGGTTGAACCAACAGAAGAATAAAATTATCCTGGCTATGAAGAACTGGAAATATTATATTAGTTTGGGAAAACTTATGCAGTATCTGCCTAGTTGTGATCATAACACAGTACATAAAAATGCACTGATTTGTACCTTATTTAGGAAAAAAGTACACTAAAAAGCTTCCTTAGAACTTTTTTGCAATGTAAGATATCTTCATGTAGTAAATTATTCTTTCTTCATACTCCTGGAGTTTTAAAGTTCATTTTACTAGACAGTTGTTTCTTTCAACTGGAACTTCCACAGTAAGTTTGTAGTAGGACTAGCTAGAGGTGATTTTTAAACTGAAAAGTACTTTAAACACAGAAAAGATTATTAGTAGATTAGGGCAAACATTTAAGAAGAAGAACTACCACCAAATTTTAGTTTTAGTTACTTTCTGTAACTAAAATTCTGCATTTGAGGCTAACTTTTGCATTGTAGAAAAATTAAGTAAAAATACTGGTATATCTTCCTCTCTGTTGATCTTTTCAAATATTAAGTAAATACAATATAGTAGTTTCTCTGAATATAAATCAAGAGAGGGTATATATATATTCAAGAGCAGCAAACTTTTGCTCCTTACCTCTTCCCTCCCTATTCCTTTTCACTCACTTAGGCCTTTTTTTTTCCTAAGTCTCACAATTCTGTATATTAATTTTTTTTTTTTTTCATTTGTCCCACTGTAACAACTATTTTTCCCTTCCAGAGCAAGGAATCATAAAGAATGGCGTAAAGTCCTAGCTACTGTGGATAGCTGGCTAGATCATTAAATGATTAAATTCCTAAAATACCTTTTAACAACTGAAATCTTTAACACAAATAATAATTTTAAATTTCTTTGCAGTTTTTTCTTGTGATATTTGATGATCTTTTTGTCAAGTACTATATATAATTTTGTTCTAACACTCTTTTTCTGGAATTGGAGATTACTTCACTGTTTAACATTCCCTATCTCTTCAAGATACTTCTGCCAAGATGAGATATTTTAAGAGAGAATACGATTTCATCCTCAGTTTTATATACAATACAATTGCAAGTGGACAGGAGTTTTATAGTGTAATAAATATGTGAGAGTTGCACATATTTTAAAAACTATTGCTTTTATAGGAATATACTATGTTTAAAGTTTGATTTGGGGAAGTAATGTCAAAGAACTAGCAGGAGAAGCCTCGTATGAATGTTATGTGCCTCTTAATTCAATTTCAAACAAAATTACTTCCTAGCTATCACTGAGGTTGGTGTTAGCAAAGACTAACAGCTTGCCATGATGGAAGAAAAGATAAAATACAATTTATTGCACTGTGCCAATATTCAGTGCTGTAGCAAGCATCTGAAAGGCATTGAAAGCTGTCCAGCACAGCATTCTGTTTGCAAAATAACTGAAAAATCTGACAGGCAGTAATTTGAATCCTGCTTGAGGCTATATTAATGACTTCCTAATTCTTCTAAAAATTATTAAAGATAACACTAAACACATTTTTAATATGCTAAATGCCTAATTACAGTTTTATTAAAACTAGCACTGGAAGTAGAAGTTCACTGATGACGTTCAGTGACATAACTGACAGTGATTAGGAATTTCATGATATATTCTTTCCTTTCACATTTTTGAGACGTTTTATCTGAAGTGAGTCTGAATTTGTTTAATCAGAAGACCAGGAGTAGGGTTTTTTTCTGCTGCTCAGTGAACATAAAATCCGTAGACTTCCTTGTTCAGCTTCCTGATTGGTGGAATGGGAATAATACCACGCTGGAAAGTTTTTTTAGAATTTAAGTTTTTGAGAAGCTTTGGAGATTAAGCACAAAGTATTATTATTCATTGGTTTTGAAAACTAATCCATGAGCAAAAAAGAGGAGTAAGACATGCCTGAGGGAGAAAATGCTTCTGTCAGGTGTACACATGGTACAAACTGCTCTTTATCTACAGACATGGGGCATAATTCTTGATTGTGTTACAGAGTGCAGGATTTCAGAGTTACAAGTGCAGTATTTTGGTATTTGAAGCCTGGGGTAAATGAAGTCCAGTGTAGTGACTGTGGGGGTTTTTTGTTTGTTTTTTTTTTGTTTGTTTGTTTGGGCTTTTTTTTTTTTTTTTTTTTTTAAATTTCCTGAGTGTCTATCACAGAAGTAAAACAAAGCATAGTGGATCTTAAATTTTTATCTCTTATGTTTCTGTCCTCCAGACTGATGTTTGTCTCATAGAGATTTATCTGAACTGGATATACAACTCTTAAGATGTTGGGCATAGCCCTTCCAAGTTCTCATGTCCCTCAAGTTATACTCTGAGAGCAGCTATTCAGTTGCACGCTGTCAGCGTACTGACAGACTCTGACTGCCCTAACCAACCAGTAACACCTATCTCTGCAATTTTCTTCTGCAACCTCTTTCCACCACCCCAGGCATCCCATGACTGTGTTTGAAGTCAGCTCTGGTGCGGCATAGCTATGTAAGTCTTCATCAGACTGCTGTGAAACGGTCAAGTTGTGAGAAAGAGCTGTGAGAACTGGAAGCAACTAAATGGTGAGAAAGAGCTGTGAGAAGCCTCACCTGGGTCTTCCAACCTTACACCTCCGCCGGCTAACTCAGGAGCTGCGTTTAAACTCAGGGCCTTGGCTTCCTGGCTTGGCCTGGCACCTGCCTCATAGCTGCAGACTTGTCTGGCAATCTTGACTCTTGCCTGATTCTGTTACCATCACTGGACCTGCTTTGCTGTTCTTGTTTGAGCAGGGGGGACTATGTACCATGTCAGTGAGGTCACTGCCCTGCGTGCTGTGCTATCACCCTCGATGCCTGGCTTGCCTGTCCCCATAGAGCAAGGACAACTGGAAATGTGAGATCATCAGGCAGTATTTATTTTGGAGCTGAGAAAATACTGGAAATATTTCTGACTGCTTATATCTTTAAACCACCTTGTTTATTTAGGTAGCATGCTAGTTTGCCTACTGTTCTATATGCTGCTTAGGAAGAGCCATAAACTTCAACATATTCTACTTCTTTCTAATCATGGAGGAAGAGACAGTTCTGTTCTTCTGCATTTTTGTAAACTGACAAATATGCGAATAGTTAGATGGGCCTGGATGCTTTTGTAATTTAAGTAGA